AATTTACATTTTTGTTGACTCACTGGCTGCTATGTTTCTGATAAAAAAATAAATGTAAACTGCGTAAACATTGGTGAACGTGCTGCTCTACATTTTTGTATTTATGTCACAGCTATTTTGCATTCACTCCTCATTTTACGCGATTGATATTTATTTTTATTTAGCAGAATCACAACAGACTGCAAGGAAGTCAACTGTTAATACAACGAACAAAAAAGGTTTTTGTTATTTTATTTTATTACAGGTGTGGAAAAAAAACCCTGGGCATATGCTAAGATATAACCTCAATTCCTTTATTTTATCAAAAGTGGGGGGTGGGTGTTTGTCCGGGCATGGGCTCTTAGCCGGATAAATACGGTAAGTTATATAAATCTAGCCATAGTAGGTGGTGCATAAAATTTCGTCAAAAGCCCATTTTGTTGAAAGTTCAATATAGTGACCCCTCTGTAAGTCGCGGGTGTCAGGATTTATTAGAACATGAGTGAAAACTAGAAATATAGAAAACACAAACAACAAACATAGGAAATATGCTGGTCAGAATAATGAGTAAGATAAAGAAAGACATGCAGTCAAATAGTGATGTCTGTAGTACTTACTGCAATCTGACCAGCTGGAGTAAATAATATAGTGACCATCTGGGCTGTGAAATAATAATAATATACAGGACATTAATTCAAAAATCTAATCCATTTCTCTTTTAACTACTACATGCATGATTTTCTCAGCAAATATAAAATAAACTGATGGAGAAATTGATAAATATTTCAGGAATGTAAATATTTTGCTACGATGTTCCAACACTCTCAAACAAATGCAAATTATCACAAAATATTACAGAGAACTAATAACTGAAATTTAAAAGAGATCTATCCATGCAGATTTTGTAAATATTGCTTTATAGTATTTTTGGTTGGTTGTTTTTATTTGTTTTTATTTTTTATATATAATGTGTCAGATACATACACTGAACGATGTGCTGGATACACACAAACTATGTACCAGATAAACACAATAAACTATGTACCAGATAAACACAATAAATTATGTACCAGATACATACAATAAACTATGTGCCAGATACACACAACAAGCTATGTACCGGATACATACAATAAACTATGTGTCATATACACACAATAAACTATGTACCAAATACACACAATAAACCATGTACCAGATACACACAATAAACTATTTACCAGATGCACACAATAAACTATGTGCCAGATACACACAATAAACTATGTCCCATATACAAGACACACAATACACTATGTACCGTAAACACACAATAAACTATGTACCATATACACACAATAAACTATGTACCATATACACACAATAAACTATGTGCCAGATACATACAATAAACTATGTACCAGATACATACAATAAACTATGTACCAGATACACACAATAAACTATGCACCATGTACACACAACAAACTATGTACCATATACACACAACAAACTATGTACCATAAACACACAATGAACTGTGTTCCATATACACACAATAAACTATGTACCATAAACACACAATAAATTATGTACCATAAACACACAATGAACTGTAATCCATATACACACAATAAACTATGTACCAGATGTACACAATGAACTATGTGCCAGATACACACAATAAACTATGTACCAGATAAACACAATAAACTATGTACCAGATACACACAATAAACTATGTACCAGATACACACAATAAACTATGTGCCAGATAAACACAATAAAGTATGTACCAGATACACACAATAAACTATGTACCAGATACACACAATAAACTATGTAACAGTTACACACAATAAACTATGTACCAGATACACACAATAAACTATGTGCCAGATACACACAATAAACAATGTCCCATATACAAGACACACAATAAACTATGTACCGTAAACACACAATAAATTATGTACCATAAACACACAATGAACTGTAATCCATATACACACAATAAACTATGTACCAGTTACACACAATAAACTATGTACCAGATACACACAATAAACTAGGTACCAGATACACACAATAAACTATGTACCAGATACACACAATAAACTATGTACCATGTACACACAACAAACTATGTACCATATACACACAACAAACTATATACCATAAAACACAATGAACTGTGTTCCATATACACACAATAAACTATGTACCAGATACACACAATAAACTATGTACCAGATACACACAATAAACTATGTACCAGATACACACAATAAACTATGTACCAGATACACACAATAAACTATGTACCATATACACACAATAATAAACTATGTACCAGATACACACAATAAACCATGTACCACATACACACAATAAACTATGTACCAGATACACAATAAACTATGTACCAGTTACACACAATAAACTATGTACCAGTTACACACAATAAACTATGTACCAGATACACACAATAAACTATGTACCAGATACACACAATAAACTATGTGCCAGATATACACACAACAAACTATGTACCATAAACACACAATGAACTGTGTTCCATATACACACAATAAACTATGTACCATATACACACAACAAACTATGTACCATAAACACACAATGAACTGTGTTCCATATACACACAATAAACTATGTACCATATACACACAGCAAACTATGTACCATAAACACACAATGAACTATGTTCCTGATACACACAATAAACTATGTACCAGATACACACAATAAACTATGTACCAGATACACACAATAAACTATGTACCAGATACACACAATAAACTATGTACCAGATACACACAATAAACCATGTACCAGATACACACAATAAACTATGTACCAGATACACACAATAAACTATGTACCAGATACACACAATAAACTATGTACCAGATACACACAATAAACTATGTACCGGATACACACAATAAACTATGTACCAGATACACACAATAAACTATGTACCAGTTACACACAATAAACTATGTTCCTGATACACACAATGAACTATGTGCCAGACTATTTATTGCACATAAATTATTTACATTGTTGCATCAGATACATAGACACCAACCTGAATGCTGTATCAAGGATACTCCATCCTACGTCCCTAGCAACTACTGTTTTGAAGTTATCAAACCATCCTTTTGTTGTGTTATATAATCGTATCAGCTGGTCTTGACATGCTGTCACAAAGACACTACCATCCTCTGAGTGAGTCCCGCAGAACGCCTTGTGTCCGAATCTTGCCATAGCAGCCATGAAATTAGGCAAGTACCTGCAATAAATAAAGTATATGAATTTTGAATATGTTAAAATCAATTAAAATCTAATCTTATTTAATATAATTATAAATTGTGCCTGATAGGGAACACAACTCACTTGCAGCATCATCACTGTCTTAATCAGAGATGTATAATGTATATTTGACATGCCTAGTGCTAAGTTTCTTTTATTTTTACTTAACCTAGTGGCCTGGTGAATCGTTATGTAAATATATATTCAACATAGAATTCTGTGTAATCACTAATTGGCTGTTTCCAAGACTTCAGTACATTACCAAGGCAACTTGTATGCACAGATTGACCCAAAAGTAAGGCCTGCTAGAGCCCTCCAGGCTGTCTATTATCCGTAGACTTTTCAAAGTATCATGATATCATGTATCAAGCATAATGATCGTCTACATACCTCGATGACACTGTGTTACAATCACCTCGTGAAAACCTTCCATTATATCCACATTGACCAGCCTCGCGCTACAATTCAAAGCATAATATAAATTATTAAATGAAATGCTGTATGCAAATTAGACATGATGCTTTTAGAGAACATTTCTGGTAAGAACACGGAATCAACTATATTTATATTTGGAAATCATGAGACAAATACCTACCATCTGTAAGAGTTTTGGTACGCTGTATCTTGTACTGGGTTTTGTAGAGTATTTCCCATTTGTAAGAACCATTTCATGATTTATTTTACTTTCCTGTTGAGAAAATAGTATTTTTTAAATATTGTATGCAAAGGAATTACAAATA